GAATTTTTTTTAATCCTTTCAGAAACATTCAGTCCTCTCTGCAGAATTCAACGAATTTGGTAAAGCACGCTTCTATGCAAGGGTTATTTGACAGCTTCATGCAACTATGAAAATACTGAATTTTTCAGAGTATAAGGCGCTCCAAAGTATAAGACGCACCTAGCTTTTGGGGAGGAAAACAAGGGGGGGGGGGGGAAATCTGCCTCCCAGCAATTTGCCTCGTGGAGCAAACACTTTCAGTTTAAATGCACCTCCTGATCATCAGCTGCTTCAGGCTGCAGGGATTGCTATAGCCTATTGCAGCCTCCGCAAGCCCCATTTTCCCTGTTTGCTGCAAGGAAGTAAATTGCTGGGAGGCAGAGGCCAAAGGGTGGGAGACAGTGGGTGGATGAGGCTACATTCAGTGTATAAGATGCACCCAAATTTCCACCCTCTTTTAGAGGGGGGAAAGGTGCGTCTTATTCTCTGAAAAATACGGTATATGCAGGCCCATGAACGGCATGAGAGATGGTTTGGCCTGGTGGTTAAGGCACCAGGCGAGAAAGTAAAGAGACCGTGAGTTCAAGTCCCATCTTAGCCATGAAAGCCGGCTGGGTGACTTAGGGCCAGTCATGCTCTCTCAGCCCAATTTACCTCACAGGAGTTGTTGCCGTGGGGAAAAAATAAGAGGAGGAAGGTGTGTTGGATACGTTAGCTGCCTTGAGTTACTTATAAAAATAATAAAGATAAGAAATAAAAAAACCTAAATAAATAACTACAATCTACTTCTGGCACGGTAAGTTTCTATACATTGTGAGAGGAGGAATATATCCATTGGAAAGTTGCAGGTAATAGGCCTAGGAGTGAGCTTCCAGGCGTCACTGAACCAAAGTTTTAAACTAACATAATTGCAAAATGCACCAGACATATTTCTACTGTGCTGACTTCTGTGCGCTGCATTTTCTGCAAAGTAGATACTTGTAGGGATATATTTAGAGCAGGAAGAATGAGACGGTGGGAAATGAGGAACTGAAAGTAAGAAGTGCCTGAGAGCTTCAAATGTACATGGGGGTTTTCAGAGAGTGACGGTCGGTAAGAAAGTAAGAAAGACCAAGGAAGTGAAACTATGGAGTGTGTATGTCAGTAAAAAAGGTCTAAGAAATGTGCCTTGAGATGAGAATGGGGTCCTTTGCTCAATAGCAGCCTTTGTAGGACCTTCTATCTGTCATAGGACCCATTGCAGTGGTTTGACAATGTGAGTTTTCTGTTGTTATTCGATCTTTTGCTTCTTTCTTTTGTTCCAATTGATTAGAAAAAAATAAACCTCTGATCTTAAAGTAAGATTTATTGCTTGTGGTTTCGTCTTTGGGTTTTTTTTTTTGAATGAGAATTTTCCTGTGACAACATTCTGTATAAATATTTGCATGTAAGCAAGAACAAGACTATTCCCTGCTCAGCCTTTTTAAACACCAACATTTCCATGCAATCCCTCTTTGTACAGGTACATGGGTCGCAAGACACATATCATTCCCAATTCCCCACTCATAGGGCATCCGCATCAATCTTCTGGTCTGTGGGCCACACGGATGGGTAAGATATCTAGTCTGGCCACTTTATGTGGGATTGCGGGAAAGCCACCAACTTCTCTCATTACAATAAATATGAGTTCCTTTTTTTGGAAATGTAACCCAAGAAATACATACAAGTACTACATGATCTCCTGCTTGAGCAGAGGGGGGGGGGG